TATATGTGTGCATGTATACTTCTGTGTCCATGTGTGTGTCTCTGTATGTGCATGTCTATGTATATGTGTGTGTGTCTGTGTATATGTGTGCGTGTATGCCTCTGTGTCCATGTGCATGTGTGTCAGTATGTGTGCATGTCTGTGTATATGTGTGTGCATGTATCCCTGTGTCCATGTGTGCATATGTGCATGTCTGTGTGCATGTATGTCGTGTATGTGTGTATGCCTGTGTTCATATGTATGTGCGTATCTGTGCGTGCATGTCTGTGTATATGTGTGCATGTATGTGTGTATGCCTCTGTCCATGTGCACGCATGTGCATGTCTGTGTATGCCTCTATGTGTCTGTGTTTGTGCGTGTCCACGTATCTATGTGCATGTGTGTGCATGTCTGTGTCTGTCTGTTTATATGTGTGCATGTGTGTATGCCTCTGTGCATGTGCGTGTCTGTGTGTATGTCTGTCCATGTATATGTGTTTGTGCATGTATGCGTGTATGTCTCTGTGTGCATGTATGCTTCTGTGTCCGCGTGTGCGTGTGCGCATGTCTGTATACATGTGCATGTGTGTGCATGTTGTGTGTATGTCTCGGTGTGCATGTCTGTCCATATATGTGCGCATGTGTACATACATGTATACCTGTGTGTCTGTGAGTGCATGTCTGTGTATATGTGTGTGCATATGTGCTTCTGTGTGTGCATGTCTGTCCATATATCTGTGCATGTGTGTACCTGCATGCATGCATACCGGTGTGTCTGTGTGCATGCGTGTCTGTGTATATGTGCGTGTGTGCATGTGTGCCTCTGTGTGTGTACACGTCTCTGGCGTCCGGTAGTCATCTCAGGTTGTTGCGGCCATCGCTGTCCAGAAGCCCAGGCTCTGTGTGCCCCTAACCCCTGGCTCTGGCTCTGCCCCCTCGCAGGTGTGCTGGGGCCATGTGGAGGAAGTGGAGCTCATCAACGATGGCTCGGGGCTGGGTTTTGGGATCGTCGGGGGCAAGTCGAGTGGTGTGGTGGTGAGGACGATCGTGCCCGGAGGACTGGCAGATCGGGTGAGTTGATGTTGGTTTTATAGAATTTAAGTTTTATGACTTTAAATGTAGTTTTATACATGAACTACTAGGATATGTGACTTTATAACTAGAATTTAATATAGTTTAAAAATGAGCTGGGCGTGGTGGCAACACCTGTAATTCTAGCACTCTGGAGGCTGAGGCAGGAGGATCACCTTGAGTTAGAGGCCAGTGTGGGCTACATAGCAAGACCCTGCCTCAAAAAACAAACAAAAAAGTTTTATTCCACAAGTGTTAGCATCTACTTTGCCTCATGTTACACAGTTCTTAAATCAGTTTTCATTTGTTTGTTTCTTGTTGGTTTGGCCTGTATGGACAGACTTCTTGATTCCACAAAGGAACAGTATTTTTTATTGGAAAGAATTGTTAATGAATACTCTTGTTAATGTTGATAAATGTTAGCCATCTATATTATTCTCCAGTTTATCTTTCAAGGGCTTAAATTTTAAAGTCAGAAGGAATAGTGATCATAAGTTTTTCACTTGAATTAAAATTCCCTGGTATTATAAATCAAGGATTACCTTTTAATATTATTATTATTATTTTGGTTTTTGAGTCAGGGTCTCGCTTTGTAGCCCAGGCTGGCCTCAAACTCATTATCCTCTTGCCTCAGCCTCTGAGAGTGCTGAGATTACAGATGTGCACTATCACACCCAGCTAGCAACTGTCTTTTTTTTCTTAATTTTACATAGAATAAAAGGTTGAATATCATATTTAGTTTTTAAAAATTACTTTTGAAGTTTGATTATGAAGCCATTTAATAATGAACACATATTAGGTAGCATATCCATAATAAATCAGAGAAAACTTTTGTTATTCCCATCATCAGAATCATGCATAAAATTCTTTTTTTTTTTTTTTAAACCTTTTTGGGACACAGTCTCACTATGCAGTTCAGGCTGGTCTTGAACTCCCTTTGTAGCCCAGGCTGGCCTCAAACTCACGGTGATCCTCCTGCCTCAGCCTCCCAAGTGCTGGGATTACGGGCGTGCTCCACCACGCCCAGCTAAAACTCTGATTATTGTCTATTTGCACAATAAGTATCCCCCTTCTTGTAGACACAGACATCAAAGTAAATGTGTGGTGCAAATGCCAGGTCAGTCCATTCCTCTCGCCTCCTTTCCGATCAATATTGATCCAACTTTATTTTTTGGCAGTACTGGGGATTAAACACTGAAGTCTGTGTAATGAGCTACAATACAGCCCTCCTTTAATTTTTATTTTGTGACAGGTTTTTACTAAATCACTAAGCTCTCCAGGCTGGGCTCAAACTTGTGATCTTCCTGCCTCAGCCTCTTGGAGTGCTGAGATGCCAGGCATGCCCCCCACACCATGCCAGCTGCTCCCTTGTCCAAGCGGTGGCACTGTTGGCATTCCCACTGCCTCTGCAGGCTCAAGTGTGTACTGACAGCAGGAGCTCTCAAAAGCTTGTTCTCTAGGCTCTGGGTGTCAGAACAAGTGATGTAACAGAGCGTCTCCATCCCTTCTACTGGTGCTGGTGACAGAGCATAGCGCTGACACTGCTGGTGTCTCAGTGTAAGACACAGCTATGACCACGAAGTGTGTTGTGGCCTTCAAATTCTGTCCCTGCATGTGCTTCCCACAAAAGAAAAGAAATGCCAGATTCATTTAAGGTTCTGCACAATGTAGTAAAAGCAGTTCAGTGAACTTTGACCCTTCAGTGTGTCTTTTTAGTATTGTGTGACTATCTTAGTTACTTCCTCATTGCTGGGACAAAATACCCAACACCCATGAGTTAAAAGAGGAAAGGTTTATTTTGGCTCACAATTTACAGAGGTTTCAGTCCACAGTCAGGTAGCTCCAAGGCAGACCAGCTGGCAGAGGGGCACCACAGAGAAGAAACAGTCCATAGCAAGGAAGACAGGCGGCAGGAAGCAGCGAGCCTCCCTTTCCTTTTTTATTACATTCAGGCTGCAAGCCTATTGGTTGATGCCACCCACCCCCAGGGTGGGCCTTCCCATTCTGCACACTCAGAACTATGTCAAACCAATCAGTGGACTAACCCAGTTATCACACCTTTAATGCAGTATCACACTCATCCAGTCACACCCAAAGGCCCCACAGTGACTGCATGAGGCTTTGGGGGGCCGTGTAGATACAGTACAAGCCATCATAGTGACCAAATGGAAGGCACCAGATATCTCTCCTGCTGTGGGCTGAAGCATGAGGATTGTTCTGAGGGAAAAAAACCTTTGTGAGATGAGCTGGATCTTTTAAAATACAGAGCAGTATTTTTATTTTTGAAACGGTAACTGGCAGAAAAACTGTGTTATGCAGTATTTAATGGAAACTCCTGAAAATGAATAAAATGAGCCTCTTATGTCACACAATGATTGGAAAACAATGATAGTGTTAGTTGGCAATGATAAATTTGGAGCTTTCAAAAAATTAGAATTTAACAATATTATATTTACCATGAGCCTGAACTTCACAATATTTAGCCACTTTTCTGAGTAGATTGTTGATGACAGTCACCAATGTGATTTTTATGATATAATGAAATATATCAATATGTTGAAGATCTGTATAACTCTGAATCAGTGTTTTCTGAATACCAGTATCTGCTTTGACAAAATAACTTATGGTTAAAAGATCAAGGGGTCGAATGAAACAGTGTCTGAAAGTTTGTGATGTGGTTTCACTTTCTGCATCACTGCTGCATTCTCCTTATCAAGAGTGGCTGCAGCCGGGCCTGGTGGCACACACCTGTCACCCCAGCACTCAGAGGCTGAGGCCAGAGGAATGTGTGAGTTTGAGGTCAGCCTGGGCTACATAGTGACACCATCTCACAAATAAGCGAACAGTGACCGCAGGGCTATTAAAGTTCCCGCCTCTCTTTGACTTTGTATTTGATTGAGGCCAAATTTTTCTCACGTTCTGCAACCAAGGACATCTTGCAACAGGGTGAATGCTGAACCGGATAGGAGAATCCAGCTGTCTTCTTTTAAGGCAGCTATTCAAGATACTGGCAAAAATATAAGAAAGCAGTGGTCTTTTCACTAACATTTTTCAATTTGGAAAATACAATCTTTTGGAGAAAGGGTTTCTCTATGCAGTTCAGGCAGGCCTTGAGCTCACTTTGTAGCCCAGGTTGGCCTTGAGCTGGATGCAAACCTCCTGCCTCCAGCCTCCTGTGTGCTGGAATTGTAGGCGTATACCACCATGCCTGGCCCTATGACCCTTTTTTAAATAAGATACCTATATAAATATTTTAATACAGATTAATACGTATGCTAAGTGCTTTAAAATTTGTCAGTGCTAATTTCTAACTCAGTAGATAGTCTTTGGAGATAATTTGATGGAGATGGAGATAATTTGAATCTCTGAGATTTCCAGTGTTTTTTCTTAGCTTTCTGATGTATAGTTGACAATGAATCACACATGTATTTGACCCCTGACACACATGCAGCTGTCCTGCTGTCACCACCCTCACCATAATGACACGTGGTCACCCTAGGGGTTCCGGTGCCACTTTGTAATCCAGTCTCCAGATACTCAAGAGTGCGGAGCAGGTCTTACAGCAGGGTGTTTGGGGTGCTCTCCGAGGCCGCGCCTCTGCACGACTCTAGGGGACTCCGGCATCTTCTGTGCGCCTGCGCACTTCGCTGCCCGACGGAAGCCGAGAAGCCCCGCGGTGCGGGCAGCCCCGTGCGTGCGTGCGGCGCGCTGAGGCGGCGGCGGCTCTC